CTTAAGGGCTAAAGCCATGAATTCTGAGTTGCAGGTGGATGAGGTGAGAGAAGCATTCAGTTTAAGTCAGTTGGGTTTTTCTCATCCATTGGATGACTTGTATGTTTCTCTGCAGTGGGAAAGGACGTGTTTCTCTGTACCAGGAAAGGGGTTTCTTCCATTTCCTCTTGAAGTTAGAGTAATGACAGGCTTGGGCAGTTTTTGTGCATGTCTTACTCATTGTTTTTTTGGTTTGGGAAGCAACTTTATGATCTAAGGTAGATTGTCTAGGAGAGCATGACCTTTTAAACCTCACTTTCAGTTGTCCAGACTAGTCAGCAAGATGGAAAAGTCTCTCTCCATCTTGTTTATATCTAGTTGTGTTTCATCAGCAAATAGGCTCAAATAATTAATAAATTGATCTTACAAAAATGTATGGGGGGATTGAGCTGCCTTCCTTTTTCTCTTGCCAAGTCACATTTACCCTTCTGAACCATTACAGAAAAATCTATGCTCCATGCAAAATTCTTATAATCCAAAACTGAATAGGAAATTGCCATAATGTATTCATCCCCTTGTGATGGACACAACTTAAATCCCTGCTGGAAGCATTCCAACCTTCAGGCTTTGCAGGCTGAGATCTCATTCTCTTTTCATAGTGTGCAACTCATGTCATGTCTCATCTCTAATCATTTTGTAAATTATTGCTAGTGTTAAAACTCACAATCATCCATTGCCATTGTTTTCCTTTTACAGTGCAAGCCCTAAGTAAATAAATGAGAGGTCATATTTGAGCCCCAAACATAACCAAAGCCAAGGAAGGAGAAGGCACTTGTTCATGATTACTCAACTGTTTGGCATCACAGCTTCCCAGTTTTTATTTATTTTGTTAGACTCACAGTTTTCCCACCCCCTTCATGCTGGGACTGACCTAGAGGAGCTGGGGGTGGAGGGATATATGCCAGGACACCCTGCTTTGATGTACCCTTGGAAGCACCACGGCCTTTAGCAGAGTAACTGTATAGAATTTGCAGCTGTTGATGTGGCTCTTACAGGTCAGAAGGGAGGCAGATCTCACTGGGATTGTTCCTACCATCACGCGCCCTGTGCCAGCTGGCATCACCAGCAAGGCGTCACCGATGGGCTTTATGGGCTACATGGAGTCTGCCTGCAGCCCTGTACATGGGCAGGCTGGGGGACTGGGATCTGCTGGATTACATGGTAGTCTAGCAACGGCCTCCACAACTGAAGGAAATGTTAGTGCTGCTAAATTGTACTAACAGATGCAAATAGACTGTGCTGCAGAGGACAGTCTTACTGATTCCTTTAGCTGCACAACTCAGTAGTTCTTAGGGAAAGAGACAGGTAAAACCAAGATGTGGATTTAGTAAAATTATAACTACGTAATACATAACTGTTTTATGACAGTATGGACATAAGGAAGCAGGAGAATATAATTCCTCCAGTATACAGCTTTAACACTTTAGCTTATGTTTCTAGGGCACTAATGATTTCAAGGAGACCACTGTTTCCTCTGTGACACCTGATCACAACATCTGTAAAACAGTTTCCATTTCAGATGATGTAGGTGATTTAGCTTTCTTTTTCATTATGGGAATAAACCACCATGGAAACCATGGTATACTCTCATTTCTTCTCTCTGTGCTTTCATCCACCAGTCTCTGTTTCAATTCACTGTTTATTCAAAAGCAAACATCTGCATTGTCTCTATATTCTACCAAGTTTTCTCTTGCAGAAGAGACTTCTATGTTGCAGATTTTCTCTGGCACCTTCATCAGAAAAAAATACTATAATCAGAGGTAAATTAGCCCTTGTAATGCCTATTTTCCATCAGTAAAATTTCACTAAACAGTGTGCTATTAATGCCTATTAACTTCCTGACAAGAAAAGATGACTTGATATCGATTATACATGTATTATGTTGCTCACAAAGCCTAGGTATTCACTGAAGAATCCATTAATTGAGAAATTTGTTTTGACTTTCTTTCTAAACCTGGAAAGAGATATATTTATATAATGAGTCTTCTGTTACAGTTTAATATTTCATAATTTATGGTGTTTAAAAAGGATGGATTTTTTTTCCTGTTTTAGTGTTTTGGTTTTAGATTATCTTGTTTCATTATCCATACCTAATTGTTCACAAGACTGAAAACTGATCTTGATTTTGGGATATCTTTAGTGGTACTTTCAGCTGAATCTGCTCCTCTGTCTGGCTCATCTTACTTGTGCTGGCTGAAAGGAAGGGAGAAGGAACCTAGAGCATGGACAGGTGGGAGGGAAGAGTAATTTAAACTCATCTAAATCCAGCAGGAACATGAGCGATCCAGTGGCAAGCCACTTCAGGAAGCTTAGATCATGTAAGTAGATCAAAAGTAGATCATGGAGAGAAGATGAGGGATAGTGAGGAAGGGAAGACTAAGACAGCCAAAAATTCAGATTTACAATCCTATGGAATTGCCCCCTAATCCCTGGGACTGGACTGCTCAAAATCTGAGGAAAGAGAAAAGACTGTCAGCTTGATTTAGTCTAAATCCATGAATGCTTTCAGTTACAAATTTTAGCTCTGTAAATTTTCCAAAGGGCAGAGCTTAAAATGATCAAAGGGTGGAATTCGAATACCTCTTTTGACGAAGCTCTGGAAAAGAAAACATGGTGGTTTTTTTTGTGCTATGAGTTTTCAAGATATTTTAGTCTTTTGCAGTGCAAAATGCGCTTGTGAAGAAGACAGGTTACAATGCAAGTAAGTTGGCAAGACTGAAAAATAAATTTTTCTAAAGATTTTAGAAATAAAGGACTGCATTATATGCATAACGGACTTTTTTCACTGTGCTGTATTTAGTAAAAAGTATGTATTCACTCTTCCATTACGAACAAAGTCATATCCAAAACTTTCTGAAATATCTGGAATTTGGGATATGTTCATTTGTTTCATGTCTTTCTCACAGTCCTTTTTTAACTCAGATCTTAGACATCCATGAACTGGTATCTGCTTTGGGGGTTATTCCACAAGAGTACTGAGGTATGCTGTGGTTACTTGAATGTAACAGTGTGTGTGTTGACAGGTGGCTGCATGATGAGGATGTAGAAAGTAAAACACAATTTTCCTCCAGTCCGTGTTCTCTCTCTGGTCTGGATCTGAAGTTTTGGTTCTCCTTCAATGGAGTCAAATTTCTTTAAGTGAAAATTTAAGACAAGGATGACTGTGTAGAGAAGCAAAAGGCATTACTTAGAAGACAAAAAAAAAATCTGCTCCAGGTATTTTAAAATCATTGGAGAGATAGGTTTGTTTAGGAAACATTCTTTCAACAGTTTTTCATTTAATAACCATAAAATCGATCGGTAGGTGCCATAAAAGCACGGAGAATGGTTTAGAAATGAATGATGAATGAAGCGAGAATTCAAAAACAAATAATAATAATTTGTCAAGAGATGTTCAAAAATGTTTTATATATAATGATTAGTTTTACCTTAATTATATAAAAATATAAATCATTCAAATTACTGTGCATATTACTGAGTGAAAAATAGTTGCATTTTAAATTTCATTGAAGAGACCTGGCAAACAAACTGGTAATTAAAAGGAGTTATCATATAAACAAAAAAAATCAAAGCCTATACACTATGGATTTTTTTATTCCTGAAGTTGAAATCAAGCTAGGCAGAGGACTGATTGAAATTTATCCCAGAGTAGCTGAAAGGGAAATGAAAATTAAAAATGTATGTACTATAACTTCAATATAAAGCTCAGATAAAAATCACAAAGTCACTGACAAGGTGAATTCCTCAAGAAAGAATACAGACCAGGCAGCTGAATTGTTTTTCTGTGGCTTGCATAATTATTTTCCAACAAATTAAATATTTTCTTGTACTTTCTGTATAATGTACTCTTTTGCATCTGTATTTCAATAGATTTTTATTTTGTTCTCATTTTCTCTTACCTTTATCTAACCTTTTCATTCCTTCTGTTTTCTTTATACTTTCATTTTTGAAATTTCCTTCAGAAGCGAAAACTATAAATAGTGCTGTTTTGTGCTTGCAGAAAGATACTGCACAGCAGTCCACATAGAAGATTCAGTACTTCTGCGTAATCCCCAGCACTTCGTTTCAAGCACAGAAGAGTCTTGCACATATAGTGAAGGTCAAAACTTGAGTTCATGGAATCACAGAATGGTTTGGGTTGGAAGGGACTTTAAAGCCCATCCAGTTCCAACCCTTTGCCATGGGCAGGGACACCTCCCCTTGGGCAGCCCAGGCTGCCCAAAGCCCCATCCCTCCTGGCCTTGGATACTTCCAGGGCTGGGGCATCCACAGCTTCTCTGGACAGCCTGTTCAGTGCCTCACCACCCTCTGAAGGAAGAATTTATCCCTAATATCTAAACCTCCCCTCTTTTAGTTTAAAGCAGTTCTTATCCTTTTTTTTTTTTTTTTTTTTTTTTCTATATCTTTTCTACTCCCTCCATTTGTTCTATAGAGGGGTCTGTTGTCTTTAAGTGAGATTAAAAAATATATATGTATACATAAAAATGTGTATTTATATATGAGATTCCTATCTGCACACAGTCACTGTCTTGAGGTGTTCCCAAGTCTATGGAAAAGGCTTAAAAAATATTATTACTCTCATCATAATAGTTCCATTAAAAATGAGAAACCTGAGCTCTTGTCTAAGTTTGTGTCAGAGCTAGCAATGTAAGAGCAATTCCTTGAATCCCATTCTAAAATGGTAGGCTCAGAAGTACCCTTCTTTCAAGCCAATGAATTTCGAACACAAATACCTATTTGAGATTACTTGTCTTTAGTTTCTAGAATTCAGTATTTGACTTCCATTTTAGGTGTCCTCAATGAACTTTCTTAAGCCACTGTATGCAGGGTAAGTGGTGGTTTTCTTAGGAAGCTAAGAAATGTGTTTATTATGTTGAATAAACTGAACAAAGATGTATGCATACAGCTAGATAGACCACTTTCTCATTGGGGACCTCATTTTCTCTCTTTCTTCCTTTCAGTTGAAACCTGAGGGTTTTGTATCACATGACTTGTGAACTGAAGGAGAGCTGAAGAACACGCCAGTCCAAATTTCAGTGCATCATACTGTGGTAAGTTCAATTTTTTGTTGTTTTAACAACTTATTTTTTTCCACTTAGAAGTGAAAAGACATAGTGAATACATATGATGAAACTGATACTTTTCCAGGTTTCAAATTAAATAAGATTTTTCTTCTGTATTAATGATATTTTACATCTGTGTTAAACTATTGAAATTGCTATTTTATTTTTTATTTTTTTATGCTGTGTGATGTCTGAATTTTTTTCATGGGCTGGATCCATTTTTTTTTTGGTACTGGTATAAGTTTTTGTCTTTTGAACACTGAAGGGTTTTATTCTTGTAGAGTCTGATGGCTCTTATTGATCTGATGTCCTCTAGAAATCTCTTTGGAGGAAAATGCTCTCCTTACAGAGGTAGATTAACTGTTTGACCTTTAAGCACTGCATGAAAATCAACTCTCTTTTAAATGCAAAAATGTCACCTGGTGATAAAAGGGACTTCTTAATGTGTTAGGGAGAAAACTGAAGTTTTTCATAGGATTGTTGCTAGAGCCTCACTCTATATTCTACAGCTTGCCTTGTGGCAGATTGTTTCATTATCCAGAAGTATCATTAATCTTTTTTATTATCACCTTAAAAATAAACAAACAATGATTTTGTTGTGTTTGACACAAGTAGTGCATTTTAATTTTGTAGGCTTGTATTATTGACTTAGAAAAGCTCTGCAACATTTCAGCTTGAAATACTGACTTACAAATATGAAAATGCTTTTCAGATGTGTAGAAATATAATGGCATCTGTTGTGCATATTAAACAAAGTATGTGATTTTTATCTCTTCCACATGGAGCTTAACATTAACTAGGAAAGTTGATATTAATTAATTTTGGAAATAATAACTTGACATTCATTTTGCTTTCATGCAAATAGCTATGCTGTTCTGTGGGTGATACTGAAAGCAGGTCTCTAAGAAGAAAGAGGAGTAATCTTGGGTCACATGATGGAGTTTATTTCAGTAATAATAATTGAAAATTCAATTGATTTGATATTCTACCTCTGTGATTTCTTTCTTTGTTTTACAACTTGGCAAAATTCTGTTTTCCTTCTTTCTTTATTAGTATCTAACCAAAGTAATAGTGGTGTTTATGATAGATTAATTCAGGATTAGTTCTTGGTTTTTAGATATGATTTTCTTAATTCTAGTGTTTGTGAACATGGACAGCTGACAATCTACTGGCATTTATTTTTGCTTTTGTCAAGATAATTTAAAATTAATGTAATGAACATGCACTTGCGAAGGAAACACTTCAGAACTCTTCTGGTAATAACTTCATGAAACTTATGGCCTGAAATAAAGTTTTGTTTCATTCTCTGGTATTCAATTCCAAGAAGACATTAACGTCCTTGGGAAAAACAAACAAACCAAAAAAAATCAGTCCCAAACTACCAACAAAAAACATAAATCAGACGTGGATATACTTGGCTGGTCATTAAGGATTTATAAGTATAATATTAATGCAACTGAAGAGAGATAATAAAAATTACTTAGAAAGTTGTAGGGGAAATCTAAGTAGATATGTCTTTTTGTCTCAGGGTTTCAATTCTCACATATTCTCTCTCTTTCTATTGGTGTACTTTATACTTGCTAAACTGATACACGCAAGTAAGAAGCAGTGATTTAAAACAAAACATGCACAAAACAGTAGTAACCAGGCAAAATATTTGTAATGGCTGCTACTTTGGAGAGTTTAAACATTATTTTATCTTCCTCAGACTTGGCTGAGATTCATTAAGCACTAGTAGCACGTTGATGAAATTGATACTACCATAAATTATTATAATTTGAAGACTGCTTATTTAGCAATTTCATAACAGGTGCTTTTTCTTCTTTACGCCTGTAAAGGAAATATTTACAGATGGATATGTTTGTGTAATCAATGTAATTTTAAACTGGCTTTCTTAAAGTCTCTTCTTCTTTTAGCCTGGCTCAGTTGTGATTACTAAGGAAAAGAGGTTCTGGTGATTCGATTTCTGTGAGAGCTCAGGGCAAATGCATCATATTTTCTTGCTCTTCCTTGGATTTCATCCAAAGCCAATTCTGTTTAATCTGCCTGCTGCTGCTCTGGAAGTGACATCTGTTCAAATTTACACTCTTTATCATGGCTGACATGTTGTTTGTGTGTCTGTTTACCCCAAAACCTAGTTCTAACTGCCTCTTGCAGATAATTTGTGATTTCTTCTTTCGGTCTATCACGGGTTGCTAGGCATTGAATTGCTGCATATGGAGCTCTGCTATTATTTTTTATTTCTTTTCCTCAGATTTGCAATTATGTTTTGAGGAAGAATGAGAAGTCTAGATGCAAGGTGTGTCAGGAAATGTACAGAGGGAAGGTGGATGAGAAGTGAAGGAGCTTGGGGGGCAAAAGGGGAGCACACAGAAAATGTGTATATATAGTAACCTGATAAGGAACTTAGTAAAACGTGGGCTCTGATCTCTATACATATCTCTTGTGAAATAAATAGATAATATTGCTTTCGTAATTTTAGCTACAGTAGATTTAGGTGAAACAACTAAATTCAGACCATATTTTTCTGGCAGGGATTTCCATAATAATTTTTATGTAGGTAAAACATTTTATACTGTAAGAATTCAAAAATCATTAATTAGATCTCAAAAGCAATGAGATGGCTTTCAAAACAGAATAATTATTCCAAAATATTAAATCTGGACACTTTAATATTCCTTGAAGTTTTGGCTAAATGCAGATTAGCATTTTCAGATGTTTCCCAGAGTTTTCCAATCATAAAATTTCTATCTAAAATTAAATATGAGACACTCATGTAGTCATCCTAGGAGCCTGAAATTTAAGATCAATGTTGTGAGCCTTGCAAAGAAGATGATGAGCTGTCATCTTTACATATCTGAGGACAACAATCTTTCAGATGCACATTACTGTGTAACATAGGTACTGAAAAATAAGCCTGAGACAATCTTGAATTGCACAGTTGCGGAGCTTCACAAGATGAATAAACTGCTCTTATTCCCTTCTCTTATTGTAGAGCAGAAATGTGGGGATTATTGCTCCTGATCTTTCTTTCACCAAAAATAAATAAATAAAGTTTAGGTATTCGCTATGGTACATGTCAGGGAAGATCAGTTACTGAAGCAGATTAAGTGCTCAAATGTACAAAAATAATTTAAACTGAAACTTGATGTCCTGCTGAAATATCAGAGAACAAAAATGAATGAGTAACTTCAACACCATTTTTAAATATTTGGACCTGAAATAGGGCTGAAATACATAACAAAAATATCGAGGCAGATTCAAATAAATTCCTTTATTGGTCTTTGATGCTACAGCATTTATCACATAGACACTTCCCACATCCTACAATGATAAACTCTCTAGTTGGATTATTCTTTTTTGCTTTTTGTGTTTATTTTTCTCATTATATGTGCATAACCAGGACAACTAAAAGCTGAAACGTGATTTAATATTTTACATAGACGATGGATAAAAAGTAATTAATTGTAAATATATATTATTAAAAAAATAATAATAATGTGCTATCTTTGCTGAAGGGAAATTATCCAAAGGAGACATTTTCTCTTATCTTGTCCTAGTGTCCTGGAGTTTCAGTGAGTCCAGTCTTAACATGAAAACGGGGTCTGTATTGTTTCTAAAAATTGTTATATAGGCACATCAACTCTCAGAGCAAGTCAGGTAAGTCAGAAAACAAGAGAAACAGCAGTGCACAGCCAATGGTTACAGTAGGCCAACTGCATGCACAGAGCAGTAAGTAGGTGCAAACAACCCACATGCAGCTTCACTTGTTCTTTTTAACATATGCTTGTATCAATCCCATCCCAGGCCTCCCCAACATGTGCCTGCTGGCTGACTTGTTAACAAATAAAAGCTGACACACCTTTGAGCCAAATACGCGCAGCTGCATGATCCATCTCTAGACTATGCCTTACTTCTACCAGATGACAAAAGACTAGTTTACAGAGACAGTGAAAGTGTGCTACATAGGTAGAAATCTTTTTCTCATCATCATGTTCCGTTCCTTTTCTGTTTTACTTCCTTCCTGCCACATACTTAAAACAGTGTTCATGAATCTCTGTCACATGGGAAACAGGATTTATTTTTCTTCATCACTTCATGCTTTTCAAACTTCGTTTTATAATTTGCATAGGAATTTTGCTGCTTGTCATGGTTGGATTCTTGCTTTTATTTCTATGCAGTATTTGCTGCTTGTCAGTGCACAATGAGAGCGTTTTTGAAGGTTAACAAAGTTGATGAAAATCTGTCAGCCATTGTTTCTGCATCTGCTTTTTCTTCTGATAAACTCCCTATACATAGGCCTGTTGCCTGTAGGAAGTTCCTACATCCTTCACACTGACATATTCCAAAAATCTTAAGAAAATGCGAAACCAGAAGAATGAGGTTACTGTAACAGGGAGGTCTTCTGAAACTCTTCTTTTTAAAGGATTAATGGATCTATAATCTAAATACAGTGGTGAGCTTCCACTTCTGAAAGAAGTTACATACAGGGAACACAAATGCATTTGCATTGTCTCCTTAGATCATTTTATATATAATGCGTTTACCCAAATTCAGGCATGCACCACAAAATACTGAATGCCATGTGCTGGAGATCAGGACGTCATCAGGTAACCCTGAAAATGGATAGTCAAGCTGTATAAAAACAAGAATCAAATTTCTGTTTGTCTCAGGACTATTATTTCCACTGATACAGATTTTTTGTTTGTTTGTTTGCTGTTATTGCAAATCCATGGCTGCTTGGCTCGTGATTATATTTAACTCCACCTCAGAATTACTGCAGAAATGAGATAAGATCACTGTTTGCTTTTCTTTTCTCTTTTCATCTATCCACATGTTAAGCATTTTTATCCTCTGCTCATGATCATGATAATTTAATTATTTCCATATGCCATTCCTTACAAGCTTCACTAAATTTGTTACCTAACTTGAGATGCTTGAAATTTTCTCTTTAATCATATCAGCAACATATATATTATGTCTGTTGA